AGATAAATGTGTGCGCCTTTCTGCTCGCTCGCCGAAAGTGGGCGGGGGGGGCAAGCGCGACCGGGGCCGCCCCACAGGGGCATGGGGTGGGGGGAATCCCGGGGAGTTGCAGTCCACCCGTCGTAAAGTTGCCAAGGTTGAGAAACACTGTGCTAAATTCTATGCAGCACCAATGTGAATGTGGAATTGTTCTATGAACTGTAGTTTAGTAAGAAGACATAAGATGCTGTTTACCAAACACCTTGAAATGACTTTTCCTTATGTTGTGCCCTACATGATGCAGCCCACTGTTCACATTTGATTTACAGGCTAGTACTACAGCCAGGGCACTTACTTCTTGATGCCGGTTTCCTTCCCTGATATAGACACTTGCCAAGTTTGTCACAATAAAAGCCCACAATTCCTGATGGGTGGTGAGCTGCAGCACAGAAAACACACACACACAACAAAGAAAGGTTAAAGCACTCACCCCCTCTTACAGCTCACAGCCATATGAGCCTCCCAAATTATTTAATTAATCAGCTTCTTTGTAGAGGAGACTTACGACCCCAGGAAAACAAAAGAAAAAAATCCATACTGAATGCAATCCTACCCGAAGTGCTGTGGTGAACTGTGCTTCTGCGTTGTCCATGCAGTTCACAGAAATGCAATACAGCCCCTTCAATGGAAAACAGCAGGGATATTTCAAGAAAAGATAGTCTGGTCTTTAAGAAAAAAGACTGGGGGTAGGAAGGATGGAATGTGTACAAATGTGCACGTGCTATAGATCTAAGTAAACAGCTCAGTATGCTTCAATAGTTGTGAATCTAACTTGTCTTCCCACCACAAAGCAGCAGATTCCAGAAGAGAAATAAACATATTCCTTCTCCTTGTAACACAGCATCAAGCTTTGGAATGACATTGGCCTGCTCTCTTCATAAACCCTTCTGTTGTCAATGTTGGTCTACAACAGTCGGTTACAGCAATTCATTATTTGTTTGTTCTTCTTCACATAGCTTCTATGAACATTCATGATATTAGGTCCGAATTTTCCTATTCCCAGCCATGATATTAGGTCCAAATTTTCCTATTCCCAGCCTTTTAACCTTGTCCCTAGCTTGATTCCAAGGGTAAAGACTATCAAGGTCCTCCACTTGACTCAAGGGAAAATTCAAGCATTTTTGCCACAGATCTCAGCGGAAGGGTTGCCTCTGCATGCACACACAGCACGGATAACTGGGGAAAATCCCACATAAATCCGTGCTGATGTGGATTAATGAGGATTTACTGAAGGCCCCTTCATCTATAGGAACTGAAAGGGTTTCAGCAAAGTCCCATGGCCAAACCCTTAGAAAGTGGAATAGCTAAGTTAAGAAGCTCTTCCTCCCCTATTTATGCCTGGGCAGTGGAATGGCTCAATGGAGGTGCTTGTTACCAAAGCCTTGTGGGAATCCATTTGTTTAAACTGGCAGAACTGGCAGCTTTCTAACGAATGGAACTCAGGTTTCTTACACTGAATAAAATTCTACAGGTTCACGAAAACCTAGACTTGCAGGCATCATGCAACAGCCTCACGGCAATGCTACGTGCACTTCAGGAACTGGGAAGCTATACTCACCAGAAGAGCATGGAGCTGGGCGGCGTGATTAGAAAAGAGCCGGGGAGACTGCTGACAGAGCTGGCAAACCTGTGAAATCTTGGGGCAAACACAAGAGGACACGACTTAGTATTACAGGTGATTCAGAACAATTCTTCTGACCTACCCAGCGCAGAAGGGTTCACTCCCTTTCTTTGCCTTCCCCTTTTCTGACACCACTGCTGGGGCTGCTTATTTTGTAAAATCACTTTTGTGATGCTGCAAGAGCCCCTCCGCCTCAAGTACAGAAAACACCAGATTATGCTTCACTGAAGGACTTTGGCTGGCTTTCATTTTTTATACAATCATGCTTTTCAAAAGCTATTATAATCTGCAGTGCTGGAAAGGGCCAGGGTAAGCCCATTCTTGGCTCTTGGATGCCCTGCAGGAGTGACATGCCAAGATCTTCCAAGATTACTTCTTTTCAACAACCACAAGGAGTGGTGATCCACTGAGCCACGTTCCTCCATCCATCTGCTCCCCCACTCGTGTTTCAAAGGACACCAAATGCACTAAAGCAATGCAAGTCTTTACCTCTTGTAGGGCTGTAGCTTTGTGCCCTGTGACAAGACGGCACATGATGATGTGTTCCAACAAAATGACTTGGAAAGATGATAAGATAGGGCTGCAGTCGAGCACTGGAAGAAAAAAATAACGTTGCTCAGGAAAAACAAGGAGGAAGGGGAATAGCTCTTCATTTGGTGGAATGGCCATAGCCGTTTTTCTGAAGCAGGCAGTAGTATTTCAGTCCATCAAAGCAATTGCTCAGAAATCTTGGTGTGATGCAGCATCTTTTTGCTCAGCCTGGCAAAAGCACCGTCCATCCTACTCTCCCTCATTGTGGGAGAAAAGAAATATGCCAAAAGGGTCCTGCCGTAAGAATCAGGTGATTCTTTCTGGCATTGCTAAGTTGAAGAGCAAAAAGGATATTGATACTATTCCCTGAGTTCAGAAAAGATCTTAGCTAACTAGGCCACTCTGAATGAAGCACAGCCAAAAACAAGAACAGTATTTTCTGGTACTAAGTTTGAGAGGTGATCTATCATTGGTCTTGAAAAAGGACACTGGCACCCTGAAACAGCAAAAATAAATGAAAAAGAAAGACAACAGGGGAATGGAACATGCAAGTTGGGCATTAAAGAACAGAATCTCTATGAAGACACACACCAAAGAAGTTTATTCTGCTCACTTTTGAGTTTCTCTAGCTGCATCAGGGCTTTATCGGTGTATTTCTGGGCCTTCTCCAAATATCCAGCCTGCATGGAGTGCATCACAGTCACCTAGCGAAAAACATCCAATTTTTTGGCAGATCATTTTGCAATTCTGAAACAAAATACCTCACATTCTCCCTATTGCAAATTAACATTACTTGCTTTACATAAAAAGCTACAATAGGACACAATTTTAAATGATAAAGCATGCAGCTACCAGCACTGTGAACACCCATGCTGACTCACCACTTGTGCAATTAAAACATGCACATTCATCTCCTTCGTTACAACAGAGCAAATGGCACAGCCAAATCATCCTCATTTAGAAAGTCGTCTTGCCAAAGATGCAATTAATTTACAAAAAACATGGAAACCTATGCCTTTAGTACCAATAGAAGAGAATATGTGTAGCTCAGGGTTGAACTGTGGAATCCTTGGAGTTCTCCGAGCTTGGCTGTTTTCTTGCAAATGTTTCATTACCTGGCTAGGAACATCTTCAGTGCTAGAAGGGAGTGGGGTTTGCTCTCTGTTTATACACAGTGGCATGCCCTGCCAGTGTTGGGGGGGTGGGGGTTTTGTTTTATTTTTTCCCTCTGGTAGTTGATTAGGGTAGTGTTTACTGCTGATTTTATGACTGGTGATAATCTTGGTGTTAATCTCTGCTTAACTGGGTAATGATTGCTGGCGAGGAGATGTTCTGGTCTTCTGTTTTCCTTTTTATTGTCTCTTTTGAATAGTGGGTAGATGTTGTTTCTCTCTATGTGCCTGTTGATGGCTGCCTTGTCTGAATACCAAGCTTCC